GTTTTTTAAAATCCAATGTGTGGATCACATAATATTTCAAAAATTTTAACTTTTGAGTATAGATGATCCGCACTGTACAGTTAATTAATTGATTATAATGCTACTCAAAAATGGTGATTGTTATTTGTCTGTTTAGAGGCGAGTTTATTAATATAATTGCCAGAGCCGGAACACCAAAATCAAACAAATCCTGATTTTTATCATCTACTTTTATCTAAAGAAAAAATAAATTATTTTCTTTATTCATTGAACTGGAATTAAAGAAATAATCATTGTCAAAATCAAATGTAAACCTGATTTTTATCATCTATTCTTATCAATGAGGATTGACTCTTGTTGCTGCAGAATATGCAGTAAAGAAATACCGCTCCCATAGAAGAATTCCTAACAGTGTATTGGATGATCTTGAATCTATTATGAATTAATTAATTAATTAGTTAATTGTTTATTTTTATTTATTTGTTTATTATTCATTAATTTATTTATTTGTTAATTCATTTATTCATTAATTCATTAATTCATTTATTAATGTAACTTACTTTATTTTCTAAACATTTATATAATAAAATTCCAAATTTATTTCCATGAAATATATATATTTTTGACATCGCCATTTGTTGTCTAGTTAAATTTGAAATAAAATATTGATATTAATTAGTATATAATATTTATATGTTTCTTGTCCACAAAAATAGTCTATTATATTAATAGTTACATCATTTGCATGTTTTTTAATCAATGCGAGACAGTTGATTTTAGTTGTGTTGATTGATGGTACCATTTTTTATCTAGTTAAATTTGAAATAAAAATATTGATATTAATGATATTAAGTAATATAAACAAAGTGTATTCCCACAAAATATATTTTTGGTGCTAAGTGGGGATAGTGGGTCTATTTATAGTGATAAATTAGACTACTTGTCCACAAAATAATCTATTATATTAATAATTACATCATTTGCACATTTCTTGATCAATGCAAGACAGTTGATTATAGTCATGTTGATTGATGGTACCATTTTTTATCTATATATATAGTTAAATTTAAAATGAAATTGACATTAGCAATAGAAATAAAATGTATATATATACTTCCATAAAATATATTTTTGGTGCTAGGTGGGAGATAGCAGTATATTTTGCACATTCTTTGATCAATGCAATAATCTATTTATTAAATTTAAAATAAATGAACTTAACTGTTCTTTGTATTTTTTTTAATAATAAAGATAATTATCTTCCCGTTCATCTGGAAAATTCACGTGACAAAAGATCTGCAATACAAGGTAAATTTTTCAAATTTTTATTTTGTTTCAATTCGTCTATTTTTGATATTAACTTTTTTGTGTGTAACACGCCATCTCAGGGCTAAACATAGTAAATTCAGTAAACTTGTGCAACTTTGAAGCTCAAATTCTCCACAACAACATGACATATCAATGAGATGAAATCGTAATTTTGTAGAGGAAGGTCTTGGCTTCAAATACACAATTTATTTTGGGGTGTTGCATTTCCATTTTTGGAGAATTTGAAAATCTACACGACCAATAAAAAGTTGTGGGACTAAGTGACTTGCATCGAATGGAGAAAATAGTTTTTTTGAGATTTTTGAGAATATAAAAGAAGAAAAGGTTGTCGTGTTACAGTGCCTTAGTAAATGTTGTAATTTCTGTGTATATTTTATATTTTGTGTAATATCTCTTTTTTTTTATATGTTTCCTAATCTAACGACTTTACCCAATTTTGAAATGTTTTGTTGCACGGGAAATAATTCTTTGCAAAGAAGACTCAGTTTCAGTTACGGTAACGAAACATGAATAGCCTAAACGTCCTGTTCCTCGACTGAATTTTTGGGGAAGGAAGAGATCAAAATCAAAGGGTAAAATGATGAGTCGTTTTTTTTTGCTACGCTGGTTTGAAATGATTTTGAAATTTGTTAATAAAAAGAAAATATTATATACAGAAATATTTTCGTTTTCCAAAAATGATAAATGGTTGTGGTTATTTTACGTCACCGTATCGTGCGAAACCCAATTGCTATTTGTTAGTCATGATTTATAAACAGAAAAGCTTATTTGTTTTGGTTCAAAACGTCAGGATTGAGCAAAACAGATACTTGACTGAAAGGAAATCGTGTTTCGCTTTGGGTGTTTTTTTGTGCGATGTCGACTGTTGTCTACCCATTAGGTCTTCGTCTTGCTCTGACATTTCGGACCGTTCAAAATGACCAAAAACTGATGGTCTTGTCTTGGAACCTTTACCTCGGATTGTCAAAGGCTCGTCACACAACGTGTTAATATTAATGATATTAGTATGAAAAAATACAGATATCAATATGTTAAAAACATTGAACAATTTATTAAAATTTTTATTTTTTTGTGGATAATTGATAGGTTCTAACTAAAAATGGAAACCGCAATTTAGTATTAGCCGCAATTCAATTTTCATTTACCGCAGCCGCAACCCGCAAACTTAAATGGTTGGATGATACGAAATAAGAATATAAGCAAACTTTTACTTAATATTTCTACTTTTTAAAAACATACGAGTCAGTGTACAGACAAGCTGTGCAAGTAATTGGATCTTTGGAATATCCCGGTCAGTTAAAGTTGAGAAAAAATTTAAAATCTTGATTATTTATCATAATTAAATTTATATCAAAAAGAAACTAGAAACTAAATTAAACGAACACATTTAATTTCTCAACTTTTTCCATAAAATTCATTCGTTTCCTTTTATGATAACATAATAATAATAATAACAATTATTGCGCGTTCTTATCGAAATTTAAATGTCGTTACACGAAAAATACATTTTTCCAAAAATAACACAAAGCACTCTTTCTTCAATAACTGATAACATTAATATTAACATTAATACATATATTCGTTTACGTGAACTGATAATTGCTAAAGTCAATTGATACACTTGCAAAATCATATATTTATATTTACAACAACTATTTATATATTTATATATTTATATATTTATCATACATATACATATATTCACACGTTTGTTATATCTACACAACAATCGTATTTTCCATAATGGCAACACATAATAATAATAATAATAATAATAATAATAATAATAATAATCATTATCAATTTGATAATGTTAAAAAAGTTTATGAAACCTCATACTTGATGTTTGAGCATATTCTTTCTAAATTTAAAAGTTATGGGCACAAGGACGAAATACCTGATACTTATTATCTTCGAATGGCTAGCATAGTGGAACTTTCGAGATCTTTATCTATATTGTTAACTACGACTAATAACTATGATGTAGAAATAGATATTGGGACCAAAAACAACTCAAAAATATTCAGATCTCACTCGGTAATACTGAAATTGAGGTCTACTTATTTCAATGCTGCCTTTTCAAATGGATGGTCAAAAAAAGATAATGATGTTTACCAATTTAAAAAAGATAACATTTCACCAGAATTATTTGAAGTAATATTAAAGTAAATTTTTACTATTTTTTCAGTATCTTAATTAAATTTGTTGTTTTTACTTGAAATCATACTAATCAATTTTTAATCCTCATAGTTATTTATATACTGGTCTTTTTGAGATTGATCATCTAAGCATACAAGAAATCCTTGATTTGTTAATAGCGTGTGATGAATTGGCAATAACAGAATTACTTGAATACTTGCAAACTTATTTGGTAGAAAATCATTCACAATGGATTCAAGAAAATATACACCATATACATAATATATCTGATCAACATCAATTCACAATAATGAAAATCCATTGTGACGAAATATTATCACTAAATCCCGGTATAATCTTTCATCCAACAAATTTAAACCAATTGACAAGCAATTCATTAAAAGATATACTCGGTAGTAAAAATGGTTTTGTGATGGCGGAAGTGGAAGTTTGGACAAATGTTGTCAGATGGGGTATATCACAGGTGGATGAACACTTGAATGAGATAAATGCTTACCATTGGGGCGAAGAAGATTTCATGAAATTAAGAGACGTGATATGTGATATTCTACCGCATATTAGGTTCCGTTCAATAAGCACTAGTGATTTTTATCACTATGTTGCACCATTTGCAAGAGTGATCGGAGAAGAAGTATATCATCAATTGTTAAAGTATCATTTGGTCGCTAGTTATCGTCCAGACCCAAATATAATATGTCCACTTGGTGATCGAACAGGACAGTACGGATCGGTTTATTTTAACCCAATATTTGCAAGCTTAATATCAAGCTGGGTTGACAACCATCCACAAATATTTTATAATAGAAAAACCACTTATGATTTCAAATTGCTATTTAAAGCTTCACGTGACGGGTTTAGGGTACAGGATTTTTATGCAAAGTGTAGCTTTGTGATGAAAACATTGTTATTGATAAAGATAAAAGGCTACGATAATCTAATCGGTGGGTTTAATCCAAATTATTGGGTTGATGGTAATGCCTTTAAAACGAGATTAGGTGCACATTTGGAAACACCGTATAGTTTTCTTTTCAATTTGAATAGGTCATCGCCACAAGTTTCTATACTTAGCCGAGTTGCTGGTCACAATAAAGCTACTTTTTATCATCCTGATTCAGGCCCAAATTTCAATGATTTGAAACTTTGTCCATCAGGATTTGATAACCTTCAACAAAAATCTGTGGACTGTCATTATTTTTTTACGGGTTTTTATTATCAAAATAACATAGGACTTACTAATTCTGTCTTTCAAATTGAAGATTATGAAATATTCATCTTATCAAGAAAAACTCCTGGGTTTTTTTAAAATTACAATCACAATAATAATAATAGTTATAGTTATAGTTGATAATAGTAGTAGCATTGATTAGTGTAAATTGGTATTTTAAATAATAAAAATGGTAGTACTATTATTAAAATTATTTTTTATGATTTTTTACAATCAGGTTATTTTATATTTATAAATGAACTTTCTTTATCGTGGTTATACAAGTATATTATTATGTAAATTTGATATTTAAAGTTAATATATAATTTGTTAAGCCTTGCGTTTTTTTTCCTTTTGATGTTTTATAGTTATTATTAATAATATGTAAATAATAATATACAATTAATAAAAGATCTTACAAGTCACACCTTCCGGTTGCTAATAACCCTTTTTGAGTCCCCTTCTTGATAAAACAAGTTTAGGGCCTGACTTGGAAATCTTTTTTATAAGATCCAACGTTCGTAATGTTCTTTTTATCTGAGATGCTCGAGATAGAATTCCACCATCTACTCTTGTTACGTACTCAATGAACAACAGTATTATTATGGCAAGCCAAACAATTCAAAAGTCATTTTGAATTATGATGTGCATCGTTTAATTTATGGTGTGCATCATTTTAATTTATGGTGCGCATCGTTTTTATTTATGATGTGCATCGTTTTTATTTAATGGTGTGCATCGTTTTTATTTATGATGTGCATCGTTTTTATTTATGATGTGCATCGTTTTTATTTATGATTGTGTATAAAATTTCAAGTTAAAATATTTTTTGATTTGTTTAAATTTAATTAAAAATGAATAGTTCTCAAATACAAAACCAAGTAATTGAACATGTTCAGAATACTTTAACAAGAGCAAATAGTGTCTTGATTCAATCTGATGACTCAGATTATTTACAAAATCAATTGATTAATCTTGAAAGAACTATAAGTTTGCTGTCCCATTTAATTTATAACATGACTAAAAGTAGCATTCATTATCAAAATTTAATTCAGAATTTAATTTTATCTCAGCAAACATATTAACAATTAAATAATAAAATATTTCTACTAATTGACCAAGTTGGCCCTGAAATGCTTTTTGTAAGCCCAAAAATCATCAGGTGGTAGACCAAAATTAGAAGTTTCTGAAAATGCAATAATTCTATTGTGTTCAGAAGGATTCTCTTGGGTAGATATTGCCAATATCTTTGGAATAAGCATTACAACATTATATAGAAGACAATGTGATCTAAATATTTTAAACATTCCTTCATATAATGAAATTTCAAACAATGAATTGGATCAAATTATTTTGAATATAAAAGAGTCACAACCATATTCGGGTCAAAATATACTAATGGGTGCTTTGAAGAGTAGAAGTGTCAGAATAACACGTGAATGTTTAAGAGAAGCATTAAGAAGAATTGATCCTTTGGGTATGGCAAATAGGTGGGCAGAAATTACACCATGTCGTAAATATAAAGTTTCAGGCCCAAATGCACTGTGGCACATTGATGGTCACCATAAGTTAATCCACTGGAAAATAGTCATACATGGTGCCATAGATGGTTATACACGTTTGATTACCTATTTACATTGTAGTAATAATAATTACTCCTCAACAGTTTTACAATATTTCTTAAAGGCAGTACAAGTTCATGGTATTCCTAGTAGGATTAGAGGTGATCATGGAGGAGAAAATGTTGATGTTGCTGCTTGGATGTTGAATGTTAGAGGCCTTGATAGAGGAAGTTACATTGCTGGTAAATCAGTCCATAACCAACGAATTGAGCAATTATGGCTGGATTTGTACAGATGTATTGTTAAGGTTTATGTTGGAATCTTTTATTTTCTTGAAGAGCACTATGGGTTAAATCCTGATAGTGATTTAGATCTATTCTGCTTACATTATGTATTTATACCAAGAATTGAAGCTTCATTGTATAAATGGGAGCAATCATGGAACAACCACTCAGTACAAACAGAAAGTCATTATACACCAAGACAGTTATTTATAAGATCTGCAATAAGTGGGAATGCTGTTTTAGATTATGCTGATATAAATGTTGATGATGAATATGGAATAGATTGGAATGGACCAACTCCTCAAGTAGAATATCAACAAGTAATTGTTAATGAGGTAAGAAATATTTTGTCACCATTACAATTCCAATATTTACAACAGTCAGTAGATGTTACAAATAGTGATGGAAATTATGGAATCAACAAATATTTAGAAGTACATAATTTGGTATCACATTTATTACAAATTAATTATTAATTAATAAAATATCTTTATTAGGTGGATGGGTTTTCATCAATATTTTATCATCCTCCTCCCTTCCTCCATTATTATCATCCCCTTTATTCTCTGCCTTCTTTTCTTTGTCTATTGTACACCTTTTTTTTAAATAAAAGTATGAAATACAGAATATCAGGGTTGGCAAATTGACTGGTCCATTTGAGAATAAAATACTAAATATAGTTGAAACGTTACACTAATGGACCCAATGGACTACACATTTGCCAACTAATATTTTTATGGACACATGTTTGTTTATGTACTTTTTTGGTAGCCTGTTACAAAAAAATTTATCAATTATATTTTAACCATTTAGGGTTACTTGACATTTAACTTTTTTTTATTTAAAAAAATTTTATAGTTTTAAAGAAAATTTTTTAAAGTTAATAAACAAATATGCATTCATTAAGTAAAAATTCTTTTGTGCATGTAAAGTTAAATAAACATCATTATTGTAATTCATATATTAATATAAATACATTACATGTAAGTGCAATCGTTGAATAAGATAAAAATGATACAGCTCAACAAAAAAAGAAAGAAATCATACAAAGTTTTCATATTGTGGAATGGACTTCTCACAATGATTAATATTGAAAAACAAAACTTTCTATGTATTGGTACAACTCACTCATTCTTAAGATTTACTCCTTTAAAATAAATATACTCACTCAATTTTATTATTTATCAATTAGATTTTTTTAATGTTTTCATTTAAAAAGTTTATAATTTCAGGATAAATAGTATCTTTGGCATCCAAAGACCAATAAAAATACATATGAGCATAACCTTTAAAAGTTTTTGTGAATGTTGAATTATTATTCATTTTCAATTGTTGATTCAACAAAGAAAATTTTCAGGAGTAGCCAATAAATCATTTGTACCAACAATTGTAGCCAATTTTAATGAATTAGGCAGAATAATTGATATGTCATAAATTGATTCATTGTTCTGAGTTGATTTATCCTGGTACTGTTGGAATAAACTGATCTACTTGACTAATATAGAAGAGCATTAGAAAGAATAATAACACATATAATGTATTTATGCAAATACATTTATTTACCTGAATCCAATGAACAAGATTTTAATTACTTGCAGGAGCAGGAAAATGACCAGGGAAATTGCTATTTTCCAATAATTTAGTCTCACCAAATATAAATTTAAAACTGTCATTGTAATTTAAACTGTGTTCAATCAATTTATGTGAGAAATCCAATGTGTTCTTGAATAATTTAACTGGGAGGATTTTGATTAGATTGTCAGCTTTTATTTTACTTAGCAATTTGATTACTTTTGATTTTTGATTTTTTAATATTGCTGGTGGTTCTATCAACACAATACATTGTAAATCTGTTGGTGAGATTGATTCAATTATCAATGATGCTAAGATTTCAATTGCTCCTTTTTTTAAAAAGAAAATTTATTATTATTTTCATTATTACACCTAAGGTTTCCAGTCCAAACTGTTTCTCAAAGCCCAAACTAGTTTGGGCAATTTGGGCTTCTCAACATTTTCTATAAGCATGAACATTAAAAAACTATATGAATCAACTTGTTTTAACTTAAACAACTTTAAAATAATTTTGCCCAATTTCGGCTAATAACAAAAAGTAGTTTGGGCTTATAAAAAAATAATTTTTGCCCAAAGTATTTGGGCAATTTCGGCTACTAATAGAAGCAGTTTCGACCAGAAACCTTAATTACACCCAACATCATATATATCATGTATATTAATGTATATAATAAGACCATTTATTTATTTACCTTGAGAATGACCAATAAATGATAAATTGTCTACATTGGTTTGTTTCTTGATGTAATTAATAAAAGCAGGCAAATCATATTTTGCCATTTCATCCCAACTGAAATCATATTCATCAGAAGGAGATGGCTTGCTGTACTGATTACCACGTGAATCACCCAACCAAATATCATATCCATTATCTTTCAATATACAGTGAACCCTCTATAAGTGCACCCCCCCGGGAACATAGTGCTATTTCTTGTGAGCGTGCACTTGTGGAGGGTGTGCATTTATGGAGGGTGATTTTATAAGCTCTCTATAAGCTTGGGGATGAGATGGGCCGTGCATTTATGGAGGGTATACATAGTGCGTGCATTTAGGGAGGGTGCACTTAGGGAGGGTTCACTGTATATGATAAACTGTGTTCTGGCCCATTCAATAGCCAAGTATCTGTGCTATCAAATAATCCATGTTGAAGATATATGACTTTATTATTATTATCATTATTATCTTCTTTTATTAAATGCAATAAATTTAATTTGAATTCATCTTTTGTTATCACTATGTGGTTTTCAAATTTTCTTTATGAATTAAATGATGATGATTTTGATTGTCGGCAAAATTTGTAGTTGTGGACTTTGATGTACAAGAATTTGAAATAATTGTTGTTTTAATATTTGAATAAATAGTTGTTTTAGTATTTGAAGAAGGCGCAACTGTTAAATTATCATCATCATTATTATTAATTAGTTTGTTCATTATTATTATTATTATTATTTATTTATTTTATAATTATAAAATAATAATTTGAATTCAAATTTAAATTTTTGTTTTATTTCTGCTCTTTGAATCCATTCCATTTAATAAGATTTTAATTAATTTACTCAAGCTTATCTGTTTAACTAAATAATAATAAAATCTATATAAACAATTTACATAATAAGATTCAATTCAATATAAAAAAAACCTGTTTAATAATAATAAAAACGGAAGAACTCCCTTTATATTCAAAGTAACAATAAACATTTTTATTTATTCAAACTCGAAACTCTAAAGATTCAAATAATTCAAAATTGCTATTCGCCATTTTGACAATGGATTGAATGCACATGCAATGTTGGTCTAAATCCCATCAAATGCCTATCCTGATGACACAAATTCTAATCTATAACAATAATAATTCTCTCTGTAACGTCCCTTTTTATAACGAGCCGATTTTATATATCACATGACATCGATGATCTTCCCAAATCTAATTTAGTAATTTGCATTTTTCTTAATTTAGTAATTTTTACATTTTAATAATAAATTCTTTCTGATTTAGTATTTTTAATATTAATATTTAATTTAGTAAATTTATGTTTATTAAGTTTAATAATAATAAATTCTGATAACAAAAAGAAAAGAAGTAACTTGATGTTGTGAGATTCTCATAAAAATTTCAATATTTTATTTAAATTTTCTAATCCTAAAATACAATTGCTCTTCTAATCACTTAATGCCAATATAGATCTTAGTGGTGAAATATTAAAAGAAAAAGGAGATAATTTTGCTGGGATTCTTAATAAAAATGATTTTAAAGCATTGGATGGCTGTTTAACAAGATTTGAAGATATAACATTAAAGAGTATGTAAAACTGGTAATGTGCCCACTTCAGAATTACCATCATATAGTGAACAACTAAAAAATATTACAAGTCAATACCAATTTTCTGACATTCTCAACACAAAGGAAACAGGTTTATTTTAGCAATTTGAGCCTTCTAGAGTGTTGCTCATAACATCAATAACTGGAAGAAAATTGAAAGAAAGAATTGCTGTAATGCTAACTTGTGATGCTGATGGAGCAGAAAATTAAAGTCTCTTGTGATCCATAAATATCAAAATCAAAAAAGCAATTAGAAACATACCTTGGATGTGAAATATTAAAGCATGAATGCAAACTTCATCTTTAACAATTATCTAAAAAATTTAATAAAATGGAAATTGAAAATAGAAACATTTGATTCCACCCTACAAAAAGTATATATACTTATTTTTCACAAAACATACTTTAGCAAAAAAAGATAGATGATCTACTAATTATTTACACAAATATGTATGAATGTACTTGTTTTATCATTAAAACATTCTTATTTTTTACAGTAATAGAAATGTAGACCATATGACGAGGAAATTAATCAATCAAAGAAAATCACCAAAAAAAATGATTTAAATGAAAATAATGTCAGACCACAAAACTTGTGCTAAATATAAGAGATAAATAAATATTATTGTAATGAACACCAGAAACTCTATTATGTTGATTCTGGTGGTATTTATTCATCTTGAATTAGAGTCTACCCATCTATCTGCATGAGCTAGAGCAATTGTAAATATATTTTTAAGGTTTATAAAAAATTATTTTTCAAAAAACTAATAATAATAATAATAAAATTTCAGGATAATGGTGTAGTAGATATTGAACAACCAAAACAATCAAAAAATACCAACAAAAAATACTCTTTCTTCTCGATTTTATCCTATGATTTATCCAATTTATCAACTACCCACAAAATAGTCACCAATCAATTTTTCATCTCCCACCAACAAAACCAATTAACTCACAAACAATCAAAATTAGATGAAAGTATGGAGATGGTTTGTTTACTCAATTTTATTGATCTCTCCATATATAGATAGAACATCTTGTTGCTTCGATGGATTGTGCTGATTTTTTTACTTATAATTTTGAAGCATAAATCAATTGAATTTAAACGAACAAAAGCACAAGATTCTATTTATTTAGAAGCATAAAAATTGTTTATTTATAATCTCGTATTCAAATCTTCCTTCAAAGCCTGTTGTGCTATGTCGATCATATTAATATAGTAAAATCAGTAAACGCGAAATCTTGTCCGACTGATATGTAAGGATTTTTTATTGATTGCTTTTACTGCTTTTTCTCAAAACTCTCCACACTACTCTCACACTTGGTAAATAAATAAAAAAGTATGTATAATAAGTACGTATACTGAGTATTCATTGTATTCATTGTGCAATTTAGTCATTTAAAAACGTTTAATTTGTTCGAATCAATTCGTTTTATTCGTTCTGTTCATTCTGTTCGTTCTATTCGTTTTTATTCGTTTTATTCGAATAGAAACTTGTTGTCATGGAATAATCGTTTATTTGCGTGATACAGTGATTTACCATAAAATAATTATACTAAAATAAAAAATTGCATTAAACACTTGCTTTAGTTTTAAAAGTTAATCCGAAACCCCCGTTAAAATGAATAATTTTTAAAACACCAAAGCCAAAACATATGTAAATTACCGCGTTAATATTAATGTCACTAATAAAACTTTATAAACCGTAAACCGAAGAAATTTTTAAGTTTTTTGAAGGCATTTATATGTAAAATTACCCCGTTAATCCGAAGTGAAATAAAAATCGGGCCAATAATAATAATACATATTAATATGTATACAAGTTATACAAATACATGTGTATGTTGTATAATGTGAATTGCAAATTCACATAAATTTCATTTTCACGCACAAAATGTACAAAAATTAATAACCAGGGTAGACTTTCCTCTAGTGCAAACAAGAGGAAAAAAAATCTACCGAAAAAGAAGTTGGGGTATTAAAAGAAAACATGCGCCTATAAAAATCTTACAAAAAATAGAAATATGCATTGAAAAAAATAAAGACCCAAACATAAAAAAATAACCAGCTTGCATCTAAATATAATGTCAGTGAAACTACTGTTCTGAAATTCTAAAAAAAGAGTGATTATTTTTTATCATTGAATTCTAAATCCTAAATTTTTTAAATTTATTACCCCGTAATAATAACTTTGGATTATAAAAAACCCCGTTAATTCGAAGAAAAGTTACTGCACAATTGCCTTCGGTTTAACGGGTTGCCTATATAGTTTTAAAACAATTTTAGATAATTATGACAAAAAATATTATTTCTGATGCATTTCTAAACTAATTAATTAATATAATGATCCTTTTTCATCTACAAATCGTGAAATAGGGTTTCTCATCAAAAATGAGACGAGAAATTCATTAAATATAGAAGCTTTAGATATGCTGATGCAACGATCAATATCCTTAGAGAGTCTACCAAGTAAAGAATTTAAGCATATATTAGTTTTGATAATATTCCTGATCTTGTATCAAAACCCCCAGGTATTCCAATTGGACAGGTTATAACCCTACCCCTGTAAAAGATACAGTCGAATTCTTTACAAATAATTAGTAAAATGCCCATTTTTAAACTCTAATAATTTTTCATAAAACTATATCAGCACAAAAAAGCAAACCGATAAGTTGAATGAACATTCCGCAGTCTTTCAAATTTATCGGTTTAATTTTTTGCTTTAACACAAACTGGAGGGCCAGATGCATTTAGAAGTTACGCATGCTATAATTGTTGATAACTCTAGATGATCAGTATCATATTATGAAAAAATATTCTTTATATGTGGATTTTTTCATGGATTTTAGGTCACTCAAGAAAAAAAGTAAGAAATGATGGTGATGATCATCAGCAGCAGAAAAACTGGCATTTCATACTTTTAGTACAATCAATCAATTCCATCTATGCAATTGATACATTTTAGACATAACAATTTTATTAATATTATTAAAATATATTTTTATTGAAATCTAATGAATGGTACAATAAATAAACAATATAATCATTCTATTAATTATTCTATTAAATCCTATATTATATAATACAATTAATTTATTAATCGTTATTATCTAGCAGCCAACAATATATTTTGCTCCAACAACACCTTGAATAGTTATTTGCTGTCTTTCTGGAATATGTCTCCATTTAATTTTTCTGTACGTCAAATAGTCAAAATTATCATCGCAATCGTAATCATAATCTGATAATCCTTTATTATGGGCAAGTCTGACCATTTCTATACCATAATCACTATATAATTCACTATGAGAAAACCCATTTTCCAACTTTGATTGTCCGTTTGGTTCTACCATTTCAACTTTCAGACAGTAATGTTGTTTCCAAACAATTGCCGTGGCAGTAATTCGCATTGTGACAATCTTTTTTCTTTTGCTATTAATATCATTGTCTTTTATA